ATTCAATACACCTAATCTGCTGAACACCATAGCTCAGCCAAGACTGCCTTAAATGTGCTCAGGACACTTATAATAGCCTGCAGTTGGGCAAAATCATTTAATACAAAGTCTATTTTATAATAAAATGTGGCATGTCTCACGTTATTTAATGAGTGCGGTACTGAAAGTGAAAAACAGAATGGTTGTAAGTGTGGGGGTTGCCTACCCTCGTGACGATGTGGCTGCCTGGGAGCTGCAGCTCCCCACCCCCAACATCTCTGAGAGTATGTATTGTACCACATATATCTAGTGAAGTGACATCCTGGGAAGAGATTAAAATTCAAAATTTGAAATAAAGTTTCTACTAAATGCTTGATTATTGTTTTCACACCCTTGTAAAGTTGAAAAATCTTAAGTCGAACCACTGTAAGCTGGGGACTGTCTAAATATCTTTTGATACCTTTATTATGTTGTAGGCTTATTAAAATAGTTGAACTGATTGTATCCATAAACCCCGTCAAAATGTGGTCCCCTTTTTACTTAATTATATTTTAGACCATCTCCATCTTGGTCTTTTTCCCACCTGTTAAGCTTTGTGGTTTTGCAGAGAATATTAGCCCAGGTCTTTGAAGGATCCATTCCTTGTGTCTTTAGGTTGGAGACCATTTTTTTCCTTCTATCAGGAGCCACACTCCTTTTCAACAGTGTTCTCATATGTTCTCCTCCTAACATATTCCTTTGATGAAAATCCCATCCTTTCTTCAGCAGTGAGTACACGTCCTTTTTCCCTTCTGCCATTGTGATACTTCTCTAACATACACAGGTTGACCAGTTTCACGCTGATGAATCAAATCGGCAGGGGAATAATGCGTCTGTGGAAAGCACTTTCTCCATAGGAAGCTCTTTCATTTCATACTTGCCTGTGCGTGGGAGGCTGTAGATGGGGCTGTTAGAGAACAAAGATTATGCTGCCTGGGTTTGCAGTTTGGTTCTAGCTCTAGGAGTCTCATAACCTCGGGCAAGTTCTTTAGCATCTCTAGTAATAACTTGTATTTTAACTGAATAGCTTAAATCGTCCTTACTGTGTGCCAGGCATTTTCTAAGTGCTTTATGTGTATTAACTTTTAATTCTCTTGGTGCTCTACCACTCCAAATTATCCTCATTTCACAAGAGACAAAATGAGGCTCAGAAAACAGATCATTTGGACGAGCTAGCAAGTTGGGAGCAGGCGTCATAGGAAGTTCATATTGAATGTTTTCTTCTTCTTTTGCACTCCCTTCTTCCCCTTCCTTTCCACTCCTGGTCTTTCTCTTCCCTTTTCACCATTTTTTCCCATCTTCTCCTCTCTCCTCTCCCTCCCCTTTTTCTCTTTTCCCTACCTTCCTTCCCCTGACCATA